GTTGTGGCGGTTTAGTTTTTAAATGTGGTCAAGTATCGATTGTTTTCATTTCTCTTTTTAAATGTTTTACTTTGTACTGCGCTTTTGAGCTTTTGGGGATGAAGCGTGTTTTTCAAATAAACTTTATTATTATTATTACTATCCCATACTTTGCGTGTCTGCCTCTTGCTCGTGTCTCCGTGTATTCTCTGGCCTTCCTCTCGTTCTTTTTCCCTGTTGATTCCATGTCAGGGATTGTCTGGTGATGCTATCTGGGGGTTTTCGGAGAGAATGCCCTATCCACCTCTATCTTCTCTTTATGATGTCTTCATCAATGGGCACCTGGTAAGTCCTTCCTAGTTAATCTTTTATGGTGATGGTATTTGGCCATTTGATGTTCAAGATCTTTCTAAGGCATCCATTTATGAAGGTCTGTACTTTCTGCTTAACGCTCTCCGTTATTTTCCAAGTTTCTGCTTCAAATAGTAGAACTGTTTTGATATGTGTGTTGTCATACGTGACTCTTTCGGTTATTCGATTCAGTCGTGCTGATTTGTGATGTCGTTTCTGAGTTGATGACGCAGATTCTAGGCTGAGGAAAGGGGTGGGATGGGGTTTTTTTGTGGAGGAGGGGGGAGTTAGTATGGTGTAAAAACACAGTGTGGGTGAGTTAGTGTGGTGTAAAAATAGAAGATTCTACTGGTAACGATTACAAAAAAGGGTAAATTTAATGGAAAGCGTGAATGGTTAGAATGTGTATGAAGGGTATTGAGAGGGATCTAAATGGATCCATCCGTTCTTCAGTTATTAAGATATTTCTCATGGTCAATCTAATAAGGTTANTATATATATATATATATAAGTGTATCAAGCTATATTCCTTTTGTCAAGAGCAAAGTAATAATAACCGGGATTTTAAAAGCTTTCATTGTTAAAATAAAATCTTTCTTTTGTGGATCATTTACAGATTGCAATTTTCATACTAAAAGAAGATTAAGCGCATTATAAAGTATGGAAAATTATTTTCTTACAATTTCTTAAAGTTCATTACATTATCGTGCTTATAACAACAATGTTCCATCATTAACTTAATGTTTCTAAAAACTAAATACTTACCAATAGAAGATACTTTAAATTTTATTGAACAGCTCAGTAAAAATGACCGAGGGTAAAGGGGGGGGGGGGGCATGAAAAAGTCCAGCAACGGCTCTCGATCAAAAAGTAAATATGAACTAAAAGATGGGAAGGAAGAAAGCGTATCTCATTTAGTGATACATTATTTCCCTACCCGGCTTAAGAATGAATCTAAGTGTGCAAACCACCAGTGGCCAGTGAGATAAAAAGTGGTGCCAACGCGGCATGTAGGTATAATAGTATGCAGCAAAAGAAGTGCGAAGCACATTCTTCTTTCATTCGCCGATCATCTATTAAATACAATTGAATCGCTCTGCTGTTGATCACTGTCTTGGCTCAATTCTGCTGTTGAAAGTTGTCTCGCTGTTCTGCTGTATTGATGCAGCGAACTGCTGTAGCATCAACAAAGACATTTATGATTTCATGTCATCCTCCAACAAAAAGTTGCACAACTAAAAATAAATCGGAACTGAATTATTATTTTTTTATGAACGTGTGCAAAGCTTTACGGTCACGTGATTATTTCCAACCAATGAGAGCATTTGATGAACCAGATCAACATATTTTTTGTTTCATTTATATTGTAGAAAAATATTTCTTCAACAAGCTTTTTAATCTTCTTCTTCTGTCCTCTTCTATCGGGGAAGTGTCGTGGGGCACTGTTTAATCTTCTTCTTCTGTCCTCTTCTATCGGGGAAGTGTCGTGGGGCACTGTTTAATCTTCTTCTTCTGTCCTCTTCTATTGGGGAAGTGTCGTGGGGCACTGTTTAATGATAAGAAGTATTTATACTTCATATTAAGACTTAATTATAATGCTACAAAGTCAGGTAGACTTTACTTCTTATTCATAAGAACACATTCCTGGCAATAATGGGGACATTTTTAAAAATAATTCTTATTAGCTATAAATGAATATCACAGAACAACCATATCCAGACCTAGTACTAAATAACCACTATATCCAGACCATGTTCTACATAACCACAATATACAGACATTATTCTACAGAGCCCCTATATCCAGATCTTGTTCTTCAGAGCCACTATATCCATACCATGTTCTATGGAACGACTATATCCAGACCTTGTTCTACAGAACGACTATATCCATACCTAGTTCTTCAGAACCACTATATCCAGATCTTGTTCTACAGAACCACCATATCTTGACCTAGTTCTACTGAACCACTATATCGTGACCTAATTCTACTGAATCAGTAGATCAGTTCTACATAACCACTATATCAAGACCTTGTTCTTCATACCCACTATATCCAGACCTAGTTCTACAGAGCTACCATATCTTGACCAAGTTCTACTGAACCACTATATCTTGACCTAGTTCTACATAACCACTTTATCCTGACCTAGATTTACAGAACCACTATATCTTGACCTAGTGCTACATAACCACTTTATCATGACCTAGTTCTACAGAATCACTATTTCCACTTTAAAAAAAAAAGATTTCCCTAAGCATATTTCTAATAGAGTTCATTTATTTATACCACCTTGTTAATGCTGTCGAGGACACGAAATAGTATCTGCCTATCTGCCTATGTGTGTTACAATTATATAAAGTTATAAATAGACCGTAACGCCAGCCATGGTAATTTGTGTTCATTACAATTGGACAGGGCTATGTCACGCATTCCGAATTTATACAGAAGCATCATGGTTAATTGTTGTATTCAGTAATGACAATAATTTAGCAGCAGATAGGGAAGTAGGTGACAGAAAGGGAAATTCCCGTATTGTTAAATCAGTGGTCCTCACTAGGTAGCCATTAATACAAGTATTCATAGTTCTATTAAAAAAAGTGATTTAGTCACAGATTTATTTACCTCCAATAGAAAGACACAATCCCTCAAAGGAAATGTGTCATAAATATTGATAATCAGTATTTATAATTTGATGACCATGTAATGTTTTTGTGTTTGGGTTAATAGTATATTTATTATTTGTTTTATTAATGACACCTTTTTTTAAAAAGAAGCTGAACTGTCATAAGTCATGAGGCACTAAAAGTACAGTCATACGCTAAGTTATATTAAAATTTATGAAAATATAAGTCTAAAGTTTGTCCCTTCTAATTTTTCTATTGTGCACAGTCTATATCCCCCCTATGTATTTTTCCTCCTATTTATCGCCATACTAATTTATTTCATATGGCACACACACTATTTAGTGTTCTGAAACAAGTAAAACATACGATTAATTTGTTACCTTTGTTGTATTAGGTGTGTTACTAAAAAATTATGTCTAAAGTCGGAAATAGCTTTATAAGGAACATTTGCCGTCCTGGAGAGAGATGAACTATTTCATTATAGCCTGATGTACAGGTAGAGACATTAACTATTTCATTATAGCCTGATGTACAGGTAGAGACATTAACTATTTCATTATAGCCTGATGTACAGGTAGAGACATTAACTATTTCATTATAGCCTGATGTACAGGTAGAGCCATTAACTATTTCATTATACCCTGATGTACAGGTAGAGACATGAACTATTTCATTATAGCCTGATGTACAGGTAGAGACATTAACTATTTCATTATAGCCTGATATACAGGTAGAGACATTAACTATTTCATTATACTCTGATGTACAGGTAGAGCCATTAACTATTTCATTATACTCTGATGTACAGGTAGAGACATTAACTATTTCATTATACCCTGATGTACAGGTAGAGACATTAACTATTTCATTATACTCTGATGTACAGGGAGAGAGATTAACTATTTCATTATACCCTGATGTACTTTGAGGAGGCCACTTGCATAACCTGCTGCGTAACTTCTGGATGAACTTGAGAAAAATATAATTTAAAAAAAACAACAAAAAAACTTAATGTAGCTACACTAGCCTTCAGTTGTTTTCATTTTTAATTGTGACATTTTAGGATTAAATGAAGATTTTCATTAAATAAATACACAGAATACTGTAGGCTGACACTTTTGACTAGTTCACACGTTCAAATTTTCAAAACATTTCTTGTTTGAACGCACTAGTTTGTGTTAAAAATAGCGCAACAACATAGTGCGTTCAAATAGATAGTTGACAAAAATTCGGCATCCATCAATTACTGTATGTTCCAAATAAGACTACATTTTTTACTCTACATTGTTAAATGTAATCTCCCCCCTTTAATATCAGACATCGAAGTGACGCCCAAGTGTCCTTTAGTGAGATTTATGCAATTCGCTGGGCAATAACAGTAGCCAAGATAACGTAGCTCTTATCAGCCTCGTGACTGATGTCCATCGTTACGCGCACCTGAGCCGTCTTGTGACATGTCAAAATGTGAACCATTGAATGCATAGATATACCTGGTAATATCTAAAGTAGAATTTGAGTTTGTAGTTAATCTAAAGTGTAGAATTGGCGTTTGTAGTCAATCTAAGGTAGAATTTGATTGTGACTTTGGTTAAAGCACTATTTGTCTTAACAAGGAAAAGAGCAAACTCTAGAATCTAAGACTTTTCAACAGCAACACGCAATGGACATATAGGCCCGAGTAGCTGACAAAGTCGCCTAATAGCACACCGAGAGATACGTTTTTAAATTTTTTTTTTAATTAGAACACAACTCATTATTTCAATCAAACAATACCGTAATTTTAAATAGGATTCCGTCACGATACGAAGTTCTCATTTAAGAAAACACATTTCATTTCGGTTCGTCTTGTCCATTTAAGCACATTTGTCTCTGCTTCTCTCGCCCCATTTTCCGTAGAGGGGGGATATAACCCAGCAAATAATTTTAACGGAACAAATGTATAATAGCTTCCCTTTAATTGCTGCAAAGTGTATGGACAAGTTTCAATTAATCTAAAATTGTAAATTAAAAAAAAAACACATAAAAAAAACAACTATACTATAAAGTATATGCATGGCTTTTTATTAAAAGTTTTTTTTAAAAAAATCATTCAAAACTGGCTCAATTTTGCATAATTCAACATTTAATTCTTTTTTCACATCATTCATCTTTGTTCATATATCAATCTTTTTTTTTTTTTTCAATTACTTTATCATTTCACATTTTATTAGTTCTACGTCATTCAAAAATTATTTCTACCATAAACATTTCAACAGTACGCCAAAAACAAACCAACACATAAGAACAACTTTTTATCGCTACGCCAGCGTAGTGCCATCTTGACGATCACACAGTAAGTCTTACATTGTCATTGTGAGGTATTTGTTAAAAATTATTTTAAAAATAAAAATGTTAAAACATTTTAAATAAACACCCAAAAAAAAACAACAAAAAAAAAAACAAAACAACAACAACACAAAAAACAAATTTACATTGTCATTGTGAGGTATTTGTTAAAAATTATTTTAAAAATAAAAATGTTAAAACATTTTAAATAAACACCCAAAAAAAAACAACAAAAAAAAAAACAAAACAACAACAACACAAGAAACAAACAGCGTGTACGCACATTTTACATTCATTGATTCATCAGATGTGCAGAAGGGAACAAAGCAAATCAAATTTAGGCCAAACTTCAAATAAATGCAAAACACGCAACTTTTCAACTATAAAATTTAATTTAGATTTACTGCAAAATGTTATAGCAATTAATTTTTTTTTTTAAATTTATATTTCAGACATTGCCTGCAATGTCAGAATAGGTTACATGTTCATTGGAACAAATAACTGAAGTAATGGACTCAAGTAGTGTGAATACAAACGAATTGAGTGTTATCGATATCTGATTTAAACTGTATTCGATATCTGATTTAAATTGTGTTCGATATCTGATTCAAATTGTATTCGATCTCTGATTTCCGTCAATGGCGATCTTCTTCTCTCATTAAAAAATTTATCCTCCAAGTCATGCGAAACAAAACAAAAAAAATAAGGAGGGGAAATTTGAGAGAAATAGATCTTGGCAGTCATATTCTTATGATATAATACATTTTTGTTTGTATACTTTTGTCTGTTTGCAGTTGTTGGCGTATGGTGTGTGTGCTTTCTTGTGTATTGTGTGTTGCCTGAGCTGAGATTATTTGATACTCATCGGCAATCATTAGGTTATCGAAATGATATTTGATCAAGCGGGTTGCGGGGAAAACGCCAGGTTGCGGGGTTGTGGTGGGAGGGGGCTGCAGGAAAACAAAGTTTGAGAATCGCATGGAATTGAACAAACCGCTAGGTCTCGGTCGTCGTGATTAGAGAGGTAAAATTTCTCTAGTGTGGCGCCACAGCTCGATTGGAGATCTCTGACGTTGCGCCGCCCAGCTCCTCTAAGGAGCAATCACAACACATTGAAAGAAGTAGTTGTTCAAGATCGTTAGAAAATTATCGAATTCTTGAGTTTCTTCTATTTGTATTGAGATGTCTGATTTCAGCGTCTTCAAAGCAATCCTTTTGCTACCTTTGGAAAATCCTCCCCAAAAAACTGTTATTTCTCTTCCTTTTTTTCAGGGCACACCCAAGAACCTGTCCGAACACATCGCTAACTCCAGACCCGTCCTTAGCCGAGCACTCTACGTACTTTGCCGCCCCGATCAGCTTCGCCATAGCCTGGCCTTCTTCCCGGGACACTTCCGTTTCCTTGTTGCCTGTGCGCATGTCCGTCTGTGTGCCGACGAGGATGATGGGTCGTTTTTTCTTCATGTGACGTTTGATTTCCGGAATCCACGAGTTGAAGACGCTCGCGAAGGAATCCCGATCGCAGACGGAGAAACAGAGGACGAGCACCTCGCTCTCCTGGTATGTGAACACTCTCAGGTCTTCGAAATCACTCTGTAACATAAGAGAAACTACTGTAAGAACAATGTTAATGTCTGGCATACATTTTGTAGGACTACATAAATTACACAAAAACAAAGAGAAAAAAAAAACACTTAATGAATGTATTTTAAAAAGGTAAAAGTCTAGATATGTTAGGTATCAATAAACTTTATTCATGATTAGACGAAGAAAAATGCCTATAATTTCAGATATGTAGATTGCTCGGTTGTTAAATGATCTAAGAGTCACGTGACATTAAAAAAAAATACTCCGTTGATAATGCCGTATGCACTTTAAGGAGGACTCACCTGGCCAGCCGTGTCAAAGACACTCACGGGGAAATCTTTGCCCTCTCTTTGGACTTTAACTGAAATTTAAAAAAAACAAATATTTGATATCATCAGGTATTGCCACCCCTTTCAATGACTGATCTAAGAACATTAAATACCCGACTCTTGTTGAAAAATTGTCAACTTGTACCCATAAAGTATATAAAATGATAATGAAATAGTACAAACTAGGAACATCTAATATGGGATTGTAATTTAAAGCATCTTTTTTTTTTAATTGTAAAAAGTTTAAACTTTATAACTCTGTACTAAAACTTTTTTTATTAAAACTTAATAGATAAAATAGTATAAATTGTAGTGGGTTAATGTATTATTTATGTGGTCAACTGGGAAATGTTTATAATGTTTAAATCAATCAAATACATTAAATATTTGATAACAAGTTAAAAAAAAAATATTTTTTTTTACTACTTTGCATAGGAAACCGGTTAATATAAAGTTACACTCATAGAATGTATGCCTGGATACATTACGTGCATAACACAAAGCCCTCTGGTCGCAGCCGTTCGCCACCTACCTTTATAATCGTCGTGTATTGTTGCAGTGTACTCGTCCGTGAATCGTTTGGTTGAGTACGATAACGTCAGGCACGTCTTCCCGATCATACCATCCCCAAGCATGGCGCAGTGGATGGGGTGGCTGGTGGTGTTGTCGTTGGTACGCTGGGACCTCATGGTTGAACTCGTCTTGACTCGGGTTCTCCCTGAATATCCAGATAGGACAAAATCCTTCAATTGAATACAAATCACAGTTATAGTAAACTATTTCCGACACTGCAGAAGTTATTTAAAGTCGTTCAACACTGTCCCTGTTACGAAATGTAAAAAAACAACCTGTTTGTTAAAAGGTTCGGTAAAGGTAATCCAAAACTATTTTATAAGAACTGTTCGCACGTGTCAATACGCCGGCACTTATATATCCTAGAGAAATGCGATGCACAATTGATGGTCCGGTTACGGTCAACAATTACCATGCTCCGTCGCTTTGTTCTGTGGCTGCTTCACCTTCAACACGATGTCAGGTAGGTAAATATTTAAATCTATTTATAAACTTTCAAGTGGGCCAATCAGCCTCCGCTGGCCGTGCTATTTTTAGGACCCCCTTGTGTCACATGACCGCATCCCATCATTCGTAGGTCACATCTAACAGACACACATACAAGACGAGAAACGTGACGTCCCATACCAAAGGGCAGATTAGGGTCACATGATGGATGATAATGTTAATTAATTAACCGAGCGACCCATCATCACGTAACGGGCGTAGGTCTGCCACTCAATTTTATTTTAATTCCCAAGATTCGGTCATAACATTTCCCAAGATTTCCCAAGATCATGAAAATATATTAGAGTTTATTTTAAAGGACCTTGGGAATTTAAAAAAAAGAAAAAGAAATGTGGCCCTGAATGGGTTATTGAATTTCCAAGATCTTGGGAAATTTTCCAAGGTGTGGCAGCCCGATACGGGCGTAGTGAGAGAACCAGCTGCAAGGCATGAGTCATTGGTTAAATCGTCATGTTTGACCCTATGAACGGTAAAAAGGATCGCTCCGATTGGCTGGTCCCATTTCGATTTCCCATTCAAGGTCTTTTTCGGTTAGTGAGAGTAATTTTTGGAATTTGTAATTTCAATTTTTATTCGTTTTGGTTTTGTTTTAAAAGTTGAAAGTGAAAAGGTAGTTTTAAAAGAAGAGAAAGGTGTTAAAGGGAAGCGAATGTTGAAAGAAATAAATGATACTGGAAGAGACGAGTCGGGCGTAATTGTGGACAGTCGAGGATGGACATGGTTGCAAAATGTTTCATTTTTATGATATGTCACTGTTTTTCTTTGGCTGTCTTTAAATTGAATGTCTTTGCTCGGACTGTCTTTACTCGAACTATCTTTACTTTGACTGTCTTTGCCTCAACCGACTTTACTGTGACTGTCTTTGCTTTGACTGTCCTTCTTTTTACTGTCTTTACAGTGGCTGTCTTTGCCTTTACCGTTTAACTTTGACTGTCTTTGCCTTGATTGTCTATAACTTTGACTGTTTAGTTGTAACTGAATTTACTTCGACTGTCTTTACTTTGACTGTCTTTGCCTTGATTGTCTATAACTTTGACTGTTTAGTTGTAACTGAATTTACTTCGACTGTCTTTACTTTGACTGTCTTTGCCTTGATTGTCTATAACTTTGACTGTTTAGTTGTAACTGAATTTACTTCGACTGTCTTTACTTTGTCTGCCTTTTCTTTGACTGTCTTTACTTTGACTGTCTTTACTTTGACTGAATGTTGGACCGCCCCCCCTCCCCCCCCCCCCCTCCCCCCCCCCCTCCCCCCCCCCTTATCTTAACATAAAGATGCCATTAAGAACCGCATTTAAAGTAATTATAGTCGACACGAGTGGGAGACAAGCTTGGGTTGTAACCAGGGCCGGCGCTAGGAGGGTGCGGGGTCTTGGGGAAAATTGAATTTTGCGTGGCCTATTCTATTGGATTAGGAACTATCATTAGGCTTAGGTATATCATAAATATACTACGGCAACGCGCGGGGCCCCGCCCACTTCGCCATCCCCTGGCGCCGGCCGTGGTTGTAACTCAAACACCTTGTTAGTGCCCCATTAAAGTTATTGTGATGATATTCATTTAAATGTTTGGTGATTATTCGTTTTTAATAACTGCTTATTTTTGTGATAATAATAATTTTTTTTTCGAACCCTTCCTTGGCAGCTAAAATTGTATGTATATTTTAGGCATGTGAGATTACAAAATGTGAATTAAATCCAAACGTATACAATTTAATTATATTTGCACACGAGACGGCGTCAACTGCGTCTGCTGAAACGGTTGTATCGATTTCATCCAAGCCCTAATGTTTTATCACAAAGAAAACAATCAAACAATGCCTCGATGTTATCTTATAAATGAAAATATTTAGATTAGTTACACAAAGAACTTTAAGAATCAGACCAAAGACAAACTTTACCAACGACTTCGCGGACGATGAGCTATACAGCCAAGGAACGGCAAAAAGAAACAAACAGCTGATAGGTGATGTGGACCAGTGTCCACTCAACGATTACGATGTTTTGATGTCGGCGGATATGCGTCAATGTCCTGAGTCTCAATTTAATCAACGGATGAAAAAGAAAGTGAAACTGTTTACAAAATTCTAAGATGGCGAAATTAATTTTATACAATAGCGAAATTTTAAAAATAATTTATTTACATTTTTTAAATTTTTGGTGGACAGGGGCTTGATGAGCAAGGAGAGATAACCATCCCATGTTGAAATAATTAACTGTTTTATATTGCGTTGAGCGTTTATCCCCGAGTGATGCTGTTTTGGATGTATCAGGTTGAAGTTAGTTTGTAGTACGGACTGTCATGAAATGTCTACATTCTGCATCCCTGACAATTGTTTGACTAAGTCTTGCACCCCCTAAGAATTTTTTGACCAAGTCTTGCTACACCTAAGAATTGGTTGACCAAGTCTTGCTATACCTAAGAATATTTAGACTAAATCTAGCACCCTGTACGCAATGTACGTTGCATTTTAAAACATTGATAAAATAATTCATGCATTCTACATGGATCCAACAAAAAAAGAAGGGGGATGGGGGTGGGGTATCAGATCTTACAATCCGTGTTTTTAAAAAAAAATAATTATTCCTGTGTCGCTGAGGTCTATGGGTTGGTGGCAATATTTTGAATGAAATTTATAAAAAAATTAGAAGTAAACATATACGTATGGGCATTCTACTGACATAATGATATTAAAACCTTTACACTCGAATTTAACAAAAATGTTCACTTAATTACATGTCCTTGTTAATAAACCTATCTTTATTTCCTAAACTTAATAGTGTGTCACGGCGTTTAAGAGGGGAGTAGTTTTTTTGACCGGTTACTGGGTCCGGGTGTTTCGAGATAGATCCCCGTGGAACCGGATGAGGGTACAAGACATACAAATGAAGTATTTACCCTTAGGGAATTACAAAAATATGGTCCACCGAAAGGATAACAGTGCATGTATATAATATAACCAGTAGCTGTCACAAATGGATCAACGTTTAAGGATGCATAACAGTAATGGCATATAACCCTAACCATAACAGTAATGGCATATAACCCTAACCATAACAGTAATGGCATATAACCCTAACCATAACAGTAATGGTATATAACCCTAACCATAACAGTAATGGCATATAACCCTAACCATAACAGTAATGGCATATAACCCTAACCATAACAGTAATGGCATAAAACCCTAACAGTAATGGCATATAACCCAAACCCTAACAGTAATGGCATATAACAGAAACCCTAACAGTAATGGCATATAACCCTAACCCATAAATGTAACAAAAAATGTGAAGCGGAGCTGCGACACATGCATGAGTGCTGCTGGCAGCTGGTTGCTAGTAGTTGGTTGCTGGTTGCTAGTAGTTGGTTGCTGGTTGCTAGTAGTTGGTTGCTGGTTGCTAGTAGTTGGTTGCTGGTTGCTAGTAGTTGGTTGCTGGTTGCTAGTAGTTGGTTGCTGGTTGCTAGTAGTTGGTTGCTGGTTGCTAGTAGTTGGTTGCTGGTTGCTAGTAGTTGGTTGCTGGTTGCTAGTAGTTGGTTGCTGGTTGCTAGTAGTTGGTTGCTGGTTGCTAGTAGTTGGTTGCTGGTTGCTTGTAGTTGGTTGCTGGTTGCTAGTAGCTGGTAGCTTGTTGCTAGTGTCTTGTAGCTTGTTGCTAGTAGCTGGTAGCTTGTTGCTAGTAGTTGGTTGCTGGTTGCAGTAGTTTGTTGCTGGTTGCTAGTAGTTTGTTGCTGGTTGCTAGTAGTTGGTTGCTGGTTGCTAGTAGCTGGCAGCTGGTTGCTAGTAGTTGGTTGCTGTTTTCTAGTAGTTGGTAGCCTGTTGCTAGTAGTTGGTTGCTGGTTGCTAGTAGTTTGTTGCTGGTTGCTATTAGCTGGCAGCTGGTTGCTAGTAGTTGGTTGCTGGTTGCTTGTAGCTGGCAGCTGGTTGCTAGTAGTTGGTTGCTGGTTGCTAGTAGTTGGTAGCTTGTTGCTAGTATTTGGTTGCTGGTTGCTTGTAGTTGGTTGCTGGTTGCTAGTAGCTGGTAGTTTGTTGCTAGTAGTTGGTTGCTGGCTGCAGTTGTTTGTTGCTGGTTGCTAGAAGTTGGTTGCTGGATGCTAGTAGTTGGTTGCTGGTTGCTAGTAGTTGGTTGCTGGATGCTAGTAGTTTGTTTCTGGTTGCTTGCAGTTGGTTGCTGGTTGCTAGTAGCTGGTAGCTTGTTGCTAGTAGTTTGTTTCTGGTTGCTTGTAGTTTGTTGCTGGTTGCTAGTAGATGGCAGCTGCTTGGTAGTGGTTGGTTGCTGGTTGCTAGTAGTTGGTAGCTTGTTGCTAGTATTTGGTTGCTGGTTGCTTGTAGTTGGTTGCTGGTTGCTAGTAGTTGGTTGCTGGTTGCTAGTAGCTGGTAGCTTGTTGCTAGTATTTGGTTGCTGGTTGCTTGTAGCTGGTAGCTTGTTGCTAGTAGTTGGTTGCTGGTTGCTAGTAGCTGGTAGTTTGTTGCTAGTAGTTGGTTGCTGGCTGCAGTAGTTTGTTGCTGGTTGCTAGAAGTTGGTTGCTGGATGCTAGTAGTTGGTAGCTTGTTGCTAGTAGTTTGTTGCTGGTTGCTAGTAGTTGGTTGCTGGTTGCTAGTAGCTGGTAGTTTGTTGCTAGTAGTTGGTTGCTGGTTGCTAGTAGCTGGCAGCTTGTTGCTAGTAGTTGGTTGCTGGTTGCTAGTAGCTGGTAGCTTGTTGCTAGTAGTTGGTTGCTGGTTGATAATAGTTTTCATTTTCCTTAAACACATGTCTAACACTTGGGAGTTCGTTCCGTTTCGTTGGCTGGTTCCGGGAATATTCCGGGTTTCCGGGTCTGCACCCTCCTCTGACGTAAATTTTCACAATCAGTTTCAGATTGTCGTGAGAAAGAAACCCACTGAATAATAAGATGGCACGTGACACAGGTAGGAAAATCCTGTCCCTGCTAAGTGATTGACGTAAAATATTGTCAT